TTTATGACCATTTTGGCCACAGTTGTTAAGCAAATCGCTGCAGTTGTTAAGGCAATCATGCTGTCTTTAAGCAAATCTGATTTCCCCCTTTGACTTTGTTTGTCGGAAGCCAGTTGGGAAAGTTAGAAATGGTGATCACAGGATCCCGGGATAGTGCAGTTGTCAGAAATACATCCCATTTGCCAAGCCCCCAAATTCTGATCATATGACTATGGGGATGCTACAATGGACATAAGTGTGAAAAAAAGATCATGTCACTTTACTGTTGTAACTTTAAACACTCACTGAACGAATAGTAGTAACTATAAGAGGGATCTTAGAGTCCTAGTGGACAATTACTTAAATATGAGCTAGCTTTATGCCAAAAAAGCTAACACAATCCTTGGTTGTATAAACAGAGGCATAGAATCAAAAACACATGAAGTATTAGTACCGCTTTATAAAGCCTTAATAAGGCCACACCTGGAATAATGCATACAGTTTTGGTCACCATTACAAATAAGATGTTGAGACTTTGGAAAGAGTGCAAAGAAGGGCAGCTAAGATGATTAAAGGCCTGGAGACTAAAATATATGAAGAACAGTTGCAGGATTGAGGTTTGGCTAGTCTAGAGAAAAGAAGGACTGGGAGGGGGGACATGATAGCAGTATTCCAATATTTGAGGGGCTGCCACAAAGAAGAGGAAGTCAACTTATTTTCCAAAGCACCAGAGGGCAGAACAAAAAACAATGGATGGAAACTAATCAAGGAGAGAAGCAACCTGGTATTAAGGAGAAACTTCCTAACGGTGAGAACAATTAACCAGTGGAATGGTTTGCCACCAGAAGTTGTGGGTGCTTCATCTCTGGAGATTTTTAAGAAGAGACTGGACTTGTCTGAAATGGTATTGGGTCTCCTGCTTGAGCAGGGGGTTGGACTAGAAGACCTCCAAGGTCCCTTCCAGCTCTATGCTGATTGATTGAAAAGTAAATGCCATTCACAATTTATGGGAACTGGAGAGAAGCAAAATGCCACTGTATTCAACCAGGTTTGCCAACAGATCACTCCTCTAATTTCCAGTTTATTCTGCTTGTCAAAGAGGACTTTTCTACATCATTTTCAGAATGCTCCAGGGTGTATTTTATAACATTTTTGAATGCATCTTGTCCCTGCAAAATTCTCAAGTGTCAAATTTGAATCTCACCTCTCCAGCCCTTTTTCAGGATGAGGCCTAATATGGCAGAAGCCTCATTCTCAAAGCTGCTCCTAGGTCTGACTCTGTATTGTAGGCAAGAATGAAGCCCACACACTGATATGCTGTTTTTTGCAGATTAAGTACTTGGTGTGCTTTACACTGCCTAGTACCTAGAACTCACAGTCCTTTCTATATGTCTGTGCTTCAGAATTTAAACCATGGGTAATCAACCTTGGCTCTTTTATGACTCGTGGACTTCAACTCCCAGAATTCCTGAGCCAGCTGTGCTGGCTCAGGAATTCTGGGAGTTGAAGTCCACGAGTCATAAAAGAGCCAAGATTGACTTACCTCTGGTTTAAACCCTGGGTGTTTCTCCCATCTTTCTGAGTTATGGATACTTTGCAGTATGCTTGGTAGGTTTTGGCAGGTCACCTAAAGTTTGGGCCATGGCCTTTCTAGACTAGGACTTACAGGTTGATCATATGGTTGCAACTACATGTTAACTTGATGTCCTTATTGCTGTCTTACCATCCAGGGAATTACTGTTGTTGCTTTTTCTGTTACATAGGTCTCTCCATCACTCTGCAGCAATGCAAAAAGTTTCACTGAAAGAGTTGTCTTCTGATATATTGGCTTGTGGTTTACTTGAAGCAGGAGAAGCCATGGCAACTGCTTTGGGAAGAAGGTTGTAGTTTATTGGAAAGGAGAGCCAGACAGGAAGATGGTTCTGGCAGCAAGAGAAGTGACTGAGCACATGTAGGAAGTAGGTTTTTATACCCTCTGAAGCCTTTTGTTTGGAGTTGTTCCTGTGGCATGAACTTTGACCTGAGTCTGAGTGTGCCTTTCTGGTATTCTGATGGTGATGGGTCAATCTTATTATGTCCAAAGATCATATCCTGCTTCCCTGGGGCTGATGACTCTTAGAGTTTGGATAGGGTATGTAGATTTTAGATCTTTGTCTTCTTAATCTCCTAGCTCTCTGGATTTACATCTGCATCTCTATAGAGCTGGTTTCTGCTTGGGGAAGGGAGACCTGGGGCTATTAAGAAAACTGGGCATGCTTTAAGACCTTTGGAGGAAATATATTTTTCTGCCCTTTTAATATTTCCTTCTCTGGCTTCCCACAACTGAAAAGATGTTAAAACTGTGAGAGTAATTTTGATCACATTATTTTTGCTTCTATGGACTATTAAAGATTGGATACTGAAGTATATCGTACAGTGTGTGAATCTGAAAATCTGATTTGTCCAAATCACCTTTGCTTCTGAACATCCCAACGTATTGGTAAAGTCAAGTTTTATTAAGATGAAACATGATACTGGAAATTGCAGACTGAAGTATAACATTATTCTCTTAAATTTAACATAAAGTGGCTGTGCAGTCTGCTTCATGTTTCACTGTACAATTAAGACTGAAAAAAGTTGAGTGGGGCTGGGGTAGTTTTATGAGGCTCCAATCTGCATTTCTGAGATCCTTAAATATTTAGCTTTATAGAGCCCCTACTTTCATTTCTATTCGTTTTATTTTATTTAGACAATTATATTCCAGTACAAGTAATTCAACCCATTTAAAATATTTACAAATTAAATTCTAGACTCATAGTTACCTGTACTAGGCAAATTGAAACAAGTACTGAAGACTGAAGTGATAAACAGATGGATTATTTATCTCTTTCAAGCTGGAAAGGAATTAATTAATTTTGAGGCTCATGACATCTAGAATATATTGGTTTGACTCTACTGTAGAAGATTGCAGTTTGTTGAAACGTTTCTTTGCTTGGGTTTCTTTTTGAAGGTTGATCTAATTACCATATAATCAGACATTCAGTCACTCTGGACTGTTCAGTTTGCTCTCTCCAGCCATTGCACTGTATATGTCTTCATTTGTATACATTACCAAGCTTAATTATCTTGTTTTAGCAGCAGTACAAATCTTTTATGCCGATCAAGCAACACTTTCATCTGACTTAAAACAGGTTGAGCTTTCTAAAAAAGAGGGCCTGGTTTAATAATTCTATGACCTAATGTGTCCTACGACTGACAGCAGCAGAGCAATAGTTAAAAAATTGATTTTATGTCAGCTATCATGAATTATGCTTTCCACTCATTGGAAGCTGTAAAGAAGAAGAAAAAGCTGCAAAGTTTCTCTTTTTGTTCAGTAACATATCTTCCAATATATGAAGGCCTGTCGCAGAGAAGGGGTCAACCTATTTTCCAAAGCATCTGAAGGCAGGACAAGAAGCAACAGGTGGAAATGTATCAAGGGGTGAGCCTACCTAGAACTAAGAGAAATTTCCTGATAGAGAGAACAATTAATCAGTGGAGTGGCTTGCCTCGAGAAGTTGTGGGTGCTCCATCACTGGAAGTTTTCAAGAAGAGATTGGACAACCATTCATCCAGAATGTATAAGGTTTCCTGCTTGAGCAGGGGGTTGGACTAGAAGACCTCTAAGGTCCCTTCCAACTTTATTATTCTGTTAAGGATCTCACCAATGGAACAAGGAATTAAGGGAAACATTTCTGTTACTGCAACATTGAACATCCAAAATTTGCTAAGACTTAGGATGTCAATAGATGTCAATGCCATGGCAAATTCCCACACAAGGTGAGAAGAACTGATGCAATCTTCTTCAACCATGATGCCTTGCGGAAGTATAGAATTCAATTCCCATAATTCTAAAGGCCATGAAAAGAAATATTGTATACCAAGTTGTTTCCCAAAGCTTTTCTTTTTCTGTTTTTCTTTTGGACTGCAGAAAAGAAAAGATTTAGGATTTGAATTTCCTCCTTCCTATTTATAATTGGCATTTGGCATTTCATTGTTTGTTTTGCATTAGTGCATGTAATATAAAATGTAAACACAAGCCTGTTTTATGCTAAATAAAGATTAGCAGAAATATTTATCAAAACCAAGAAGTGAAATAGGAGTTTTTCAGTTACAGTAAAATCATACACACTGGGTTAACCCACACATAGCGCAAATAACTCATGTTTAATCTTACTAAATAAGCTACTGTTCCCTCAAGACAGTAAGCAATCAACAGGGACTATGTTCTCAGAACATGCTAAGCCAAAATTAAACATACCACATTATAGCTATTGTGTGATATGTCAATCCAGCCCCAGTATGGATTATAGGACCTATAAGGACAACATTTAGGAATCTGCTCTAATATGAAGCAGAATTAGGATTAAGGTAAGTTTGAGATCTTGAGCTGGGTCCAGTTTGCACTGTTCTAAATAAGTTTGCTAAAAAATGAGACCCATTCAGTTTAACAACGTTGACTTTATTAATTAATATTAAGAATTGCAGCCTTAACCTTCCCTCCTCCCATGCAGTTGAATTAAAAGCTCAGTGTATAGCACTGAAATAAATGCATGTCATGTACCTAATGCATTCACATGAGAACAAACACTTTAACCCATTTGCAGAATGAAGTTCAGACATCCTCTTTCCCCAATTGTAATCCTCCTATGTAAGTCACAGATTCTTCTATAGGTAGTATTTGTTTAGTGACCACCATTGGGATCGGCAACTCAGCGATTAAGTGAAGCAGTCACTAAGTGAAATCGCAACCGTTCTTATGGTCTTACTTCAGTTTTTCTTTGCTTTACAGACCTGTGAAGTTTGTAATTGGGAAGACTGGTCATAAAGTTGTTGTTTTTTTCCATCACCATCTTAACATCAGCTATTTACTTGTATTTGTTTTCTTTACCCACTCAAAAAAGAAAGCTTTTAAGGGCAAACACATAAGGGAAAAGGGCCTTCCGCTATGCTCCTGAGTATTCATTACACAATAGTTCCATTGATCTCTTCTCTATTTGCAGCGTTGGTGTTGCTTGCTATGTTGCAGTAGCTGGATACCTTGCCTGTGCCTTGATGGCCCTTCTTTGTATTCCTTCCCAGACAAAGCCACAGTCCAAGAGAAGTGAAGCACAACAGGGTGAGTGCCTGCCACATCTGAGCTTTAAGGAGGGAGGGGGAAATCTAAACCATTTCAGCTTGAAACTGTGAACTAAAACCATTTGGGGTCTGTGAGTATCCTTTAAATTAGGCTAGGGTTGCCTTCCTTTTCAACTTCATAGTGCAGGTTTAGGGAATTGCAGCTTAATCCCAAGGAAGGTGGGAGTGTGGTTGCTTCGTTTTGCTCCCAGGAAAAAGAAATACTGTCTTTAATCTATGGCAATCCTTAACTGGCTGGTAGAAGTACATGTGAGGAGTGTCATGCTAAAGTATTTACCCCAGCAGTACTCCCTTGAGTTGGTGTCCTTCACACATTGCCTACTAAAAAAAGGATATGATTTCTTTGTTTCTTCATCCCAGCAGCCCATGGGTGATTTCTGGATGTGATCTGAATCTGCTTGAGAATGTAATGCAGTCTCATTTGAATATCTGCAGCTGATTCTCATAAATGATCTCAAGACTATTTTATGACTAAATGCAGATTCACACCTGGAATGACCTTTTTTTTCCTCCCTGCCTGTCCCTGTGTGTGTGTGTGTGTGTGTGTGTTTTAAGCTTGCTTTACCAACCTGCTCAAAGAAAGGTTGTGAAAAACTCAACGACCTTATTTTTGTGACCTTGGGTCACAGTAAAGACTTGCTCTAATAAAGATTTTAAAATTAGTAACCTCCTGCTTTTTAATCATATGACATAATATATAGAAATAAAAATAGAGCTATTGAATATTGGCTTGATATCTAGCTTGTACTGTGTGTAGGAAAGCAGAGGGAAGTAAGGAAGAATAGAAGATAAAGGCTATCATGAACTTATTTAAAGAGAAAAATAGAATGGATTCATTCTAGGGCAGGGGTCCCTAATCCCCAGTCTATGCAAGCGGTGGGCAAGTGCTTGAGTGTACGAAGCTCCATTTGTGCAAACGGTGGGCACATGCAAAATCATCCCCCCCTCTGTTGCCCCTCCCACCACTGCTGATCTGTTACTCCAAGAAGCCATACTCTGACCAACTGACTTCATAAGATGTATAAAAGCAGGTAAGAACTGAAACAAGACACTTCAACTGATGATGTTACCTAGACAGGTGACAAAATGTTCAGAAACTAAACAAGCTCAGAGAACAAACCACTGCCAACCTCTTGGATTTGTTTCCATCCATTGTTTCTTACCCTTACTTCAGGTGTTTTGGAGAATAGGTTGACCTCCTCTTCTTTGTGGCTGCCCCTCAAATATTGGAATGCTGCTATCATGTCACCCCTAGTCAGTGGTGGAATTCAAATATGTGAACAAATGGTTCTCTGTGTGGATGCCGCTTCCGGAAGTCCATTCTGGGCCTGGTCAACAAAAAATTAGCTATCGGTTCTGCCAAAGTGGTGCGAACTGGCTGAATCCCACTACTGCCTCTAGTCCTTCTTTTCATTAAACTAGACATACCCAATTCCTGCCATCTTTCTTCCTATTTTTTAGCTTGCAGTCCCCTAATCATATTTGATACTTTTCTCTGCACTCTTTCTAAAGTCTCAACATCTACTACTACGTATTATGTACTATATATTACAACATCTACAATTGTGTGGCACATAATTGCCCATATAATTAGAAAACATTTTATATTTTTTCTTTCAAAGACCTACCTTTATCTGCAGAATATAGCCTATTTTATCTTTTTTCCCCCCTCCCAGGAACATCCCAGCCCAGTAGTGTTTTTAGCCTCCAAGAAATTATTCGCCTGTTGACACTTCCAGGAGTAATGGATGTTTTCTTAATCAAAGTTCTTTCAGTATTTCCTACAGGTGAGTGTGCTATGATTTTTTGAATAACATCTTTCAATCAGATATGATTTGAAGGGTATTAATATCTTCTGTGAGGCTGTCTCAGAAAAAAAATATTTAGCTGTCAGTGTTATAATAGTTACTGGGCCATTTAACACATGATGACCGTCCTTTGCAATCTAGGCAATTGTTTTGAGATTACATCTAAGATTTCCTCTACTGTACCTTTTTCAGCTAGGCTCCATGTGCCAGCTAGGCTCCATCAGAATACTTTTGGTTTCAGGGGATGAAATTGAACTGTAGTTTGAAGAAGAGGTTTGTCCTTGTCAGGAGAAATGAGAACTGTTTTGGCTCTGCATTGTATATTCCAACATACTGTAGGAAGACAGCACCCCCTCCCTATAGAAAGAAATATTTTGGGGAATATTAAAAAGGCAGAATATTATATTTCCCCAAAGGAATAATAGAGAAAATCCTAGGCAGAAACCACCACCACCCAAATTTCTCTGTCCCAAGCAGAAACCAGCTCTGTAGAAATGCAGATTTGATAATCCTTTCAGAAAGACTGGAGCCAGGAAGCTTGGAGCTGATGGGATTAGAAAGACAAAGACCCCTAGAACCAGCAACCCCTCACCCCAAAATACAACACAGGACATAGCCATCAGCCACAGCCACAGAGAAGCAGGCTATGACCTTTAGGACACAATAGGATTAATCCACCGCCATTAGATTACCAGAAGGACACACTGAACCTCAGGTTAAAGTTCATGCCACAGGAACAGAAACAAATCCAAACATAAAAGCCCAAAAATGTATAAAAACCCACCACTCCCAACACCATGTGGTCAGCTGCCCCAGAGCCACATGCTGTTGTGGTGTTGTGTTCTTCAATAAACAAGAACCTTCTTTCTAAAGCAGTCTTCATTTTGTTTATTCCCGGCTTGGACTGGACCCTGATGAAGATTTTTCTTTCGACAATACAATTGGCTGCCATTGGAATTTTAGCTTGTTTTTAATGTGGCAGTCTTAAGTTCAGTTTTTGTAGAGCAGTGGTTCTCAACCTTTTCTTCACCATGGACCCTCTTTAAACACTTTTTGTGGCCATGGTCCATGGCCATGGTCCACCAAGACTTAAGATTTAAATCATAACATTTCTTCAAGCCTTTGTGTGGACCCCCTGTGTTGACATCCACAGACCACAGGTTGAGAACCACTGCTGTAGAGCATTTAGGAAGATGAGCTTGAGAGAAGAAATAGGCAGGAATTGTTAAATAAACAGTCCTGGGTAGAGAAGGGAGGTAAAGCAAAATCAGACATGCAAAATATTGTTTTATACTTGGTAAAGTATAGTTGATTTTTCCAGTGGACTCTATTTCTGGAGCTAGTCTACATCAAAGGGTTGACATCAATCTTGCAAGCCTCATTGTGCTTTTCCTTGTTTGTTTCCCTCAAGCTCATTTTCCTGAATCTCTCCAGTTTCAACACTAAAAATAAGATCAGTAAAACAGCTAAAGAATCCAGGCATGGACTGGATTTATACACTGAATTAAACCGTGGTGTGTTTTCTACATCATAACTCCCAACTGCTGAGTTCATACAACATGCTAAATCCAAATTAAACAAGCCATAATATAGCTTGCTGCAATCCCAACCATTATAGATTATATTGGATTAGACTGTATAATGATCTAGTTCAATATGCAGTGGCTTCCTGCTATGAAAATATGAAAAAAGAAGAGTCAGGCTATTTTGACTCCACTGAATTTCAAGGCGGAGTTTTGATTTACCCACCATCTATTTTGTGACTATAATGGTGCATCAGTATTGGAATTAGGAACTTGAGATCCAGAAACAAATGGCAGGATTGGATGATTTCCAGTAAGAAAATTGCACAGCTGAAAGCCTAATCTAGGTCAAGACTAATAGCTCTTTGTTAAGAAAAAGGCTGGGAAATCGTAACAGTGGAGTTTAAACTTACCCCATTAATGTAAAAGATTCTTTGACACAAAAAATCCTTTTTTCCTGCTTCAGCCTTCATTCCTTTAGCATTTTTTGTAATGGAGTCAGTTCCCCAGAATTCTTAAACAAAGATGTTTAAGAATTATGCTGTTAAAACATTTTTCCTGAATCTATGGGGTTTTTTTTCTTCTGTGCAAAGGTGATCCAGTATGGTGAGATTTTAGGAACAAGATCTAATCTTACAGTCAGAATTTGTATGGTTATAGGTTGATACATATTGCAAGTTGTAGGAAGTATCTTCAGAGAAACATTGTCCTATATTTTCATGTATTTGCTCCATTCATATAATTATTCAATAATGATAACATGCAAAATTCTTAAATTAGAGGGATGCCTTTATTTATATTGTAAACAAAGCTACAATATACACAATGACCCAGCCCCATTATTTACAGTCTAAATTGGGTTGTTTTGGCATATATCGTGAATTTCCTGGACAAATGTGATATTTCCCACTGGGCTGGGGATTTTTTAAAAAGGTAATAACCCTAAAGGAAACTATTTTAGAAAGCATGATTCCGTTAAATACAAGCTTTGCTGTCTTGTGCACATTTCCCTCAAAATGAATGTTTTCTTCATATTCAGAGCAAATGCACAGGAGAAGAGGAACTGTCCATACTATATTTAATGAGAACACCACTTAGAAGCATTGGGTTCTTATGTTCCAGAAAAGGACATGGCATTTGGAATGTGAGAGATGCTTAAAAACATGTATCAAATGCAGAGGTTTCAGAAAGACTAAAAGGGAAAGGTGTATTGGAGTCCATGCTTTGTGTAGATTAAATCCTTGATTAAGGTTTTCTGAAGGCTGAGAAAAGTAGAATCTGCCTGGGATACAAAGGCATCTGCACCTCTGTATCCTAGACAAAGTAGGCAGGGATAAAAGTGACAGATATATGGTCTGTTCTCTCTCTTCAGCATCTACAAATTGGGGAGTAAAACATCCTCTCTTTCTATCATCACCACTTCCCTATCCCCTATTGTAGCACTATTATTGTAGCTCTGATGGTATAATAATCAAATAAAGGGATCAGGACTGCTTCTTCATTCCATTATAGGGGCACAGAAACTTTATAGAACCTATGGCTTAAATTCGTAGAAAAAAAAAGAGTAGCATTCATTGTAACTGGGTAGCTTCATTCCATCATGCCTACATTGCAGAGTGTGCATGTTATTAAGGCAGGGGGTGATGTATTCCAAGACATTGAGCACAGAGTGAAATAGTTGTACAGAGTAGCAACTAACCACCGAAAGAGAGGGGTGGGCCAGACACTGCAGTCAATCGGAGCTGGGGATGATGCTAAATTGAATGAAGCATGGTAGACCAACCACTTGAAAGGGCTGAAGACTGCTCAGGACAGAGAGAGATACTTTTGAAGTAGAGCTTCAGATCTACAACAAGTCTGAGAACAAGTGCATTTGTAATGGGCTTGGGAGTAGATGGAGGACAATGTTGTCTCTTCCTGAACTCAAGAATGGTAGGCAACCTATAGTAGTTATAGGGCAAGTAGAAAATGTAAACTGGGTCCATGATCAAATGGCACAACAGGTAACAACCCCTGTCAAATTTTGCTGATAAAAAAAAAAACTAAGCAGGGTTGGGCCTGGATAATACTTAGATGGTAGACTACAAGAACATTTCACAGGGCTATAGACTAATACGAAATGGTAATCAGTTCCATATTGTGGTTAAGAAAACTACTTGAAAGACAGCAGTAATTTGGAAGACTAAATCTCTAGTCCCTGTCACTGACTCAGATTGGATTCTGCAACAGAACAGAACCAAATTCAAGCAATAACATGGACCTTTTATGTTTATACTTTTATATACTAATGAAAAAGGAACTTTTCTTTAGAACAGGCTAGTTAAGACTCCTCTAGATATTCCCAATAAGGTAATCTTCAGTGAGATTGTTCTGATTCTGTCTCATTAAAAACTGCAATAACAATTCCCTGATTATCCTAAAATAAGGATTTTGGTTTTTGTTTTAACCCTAGGAATGTTCCTAATTATGTTTTCCATCATATCCATTGATTTCTTTGGTCTGGAAGTTGCTCATGCTGGGTATTTGATGTCCTACAATGGAATCCTTCAAATGGTAATACAATGGGCATTGACAGCTAGTCCTCATATTCTTTTATTAGATAATATAGAAATAAGAAAATGCAGCCCATATATTTATAGAAAAAAGAAAATGCAGCTTCAGTATGTGGTATTATTTTTAGTTTATGTGCATCCATACATCTGTGTTTGTTTGTGTGTGTGTGTGTGTGTGTGTGTCAGTATGCATTGATAAATTTAATTTTAGATATATAGATATGTAGCTATATACATCATCAAAGCTATGATTGCACTTTGGGTGGTGGCCTCATCCTGCTCTACTAGGTTTTCTCCTGGGATAGAGTCACACATTGCTGGAAGCAAGGATGTTTGTGCTTGAGTCAAACCTTAATTGAGCTACTTGTGTTATTCTGAGACTGTGGAGTGGTCCTGGGCTGTCTGGTCCTCATCTCCCATCAACTTGTTGGTATCATTATGTATGCATTGGAGATGAATATCTGAGGCACCTATTCCCATCCCTGATATAGAGACCTATAGCCAGGCCAGGATTCAGGAGGTGGGGAGGGAGATATTCCTAAAACATGCCCTAATTGAGTTATTTTTGTGGATATCTGATGTGATTTTTCCCTGTATATTTCTGCAGTAGTAAGCAAGAGTAATGGCTTTGAATATTGCTAGCATAACCTCTTATTACCAGGAATCCAATGAAGTTGGTTTGGACTTTTCTTTTTCCAAAAACCATCTCCCAAGTAACTTCTAAAAGGAAGGAGAACTTTCAGCTTCAGATAGCTCAAGAATATTTGCTGTTTAATATGTTGTTGGGAGCAGACAAGCCTGGGAGGATTTTTCAGATACAGTATTCTAGATCCCTACTCATCAATAAAAGAAAAAAAAACATATCTGTGTTTTATCATGCAAGTTTTAATTTTAGTTTCTTAAAATGCAGCATTAACAAAAATTAGTTATGAAATTTGTCAAATTAGCCTTTAGGCTAAGTCTGGCTATGAAGCATACCTCAATCACAGTAAACTCTTGCTTCTACTAAAATGATTTCTGTTTTAATATCTTTTTGCCTTAGAATCACACAGCTCCATTTTACGTTTCAAATAGTTTGCTGTCATTTGTCAGCTACAAAGGTTGGGAAGGTTAAAGAGACAGGGAATTTCCAAGGCCTGTAACTGGCTAAGTGCTGATTAATGTGATGCATTAACAGAGGCCTCCGCCACTGTGCTGTGTGTTTATCACACAGAAGAATAATTTTCAGTGATCTTTATCTCTCTGCCGCTTATGCAGAGCACTGATTGCTTTTGTCTTAGTGCGAAGCAAAATGAATTTTACCTATTTTATTTAGAGATCAGTGGAGAACTTCTTTTTCTCTCCCTTCCCATGTGCAAACCTGGTCCTGCAAATGGCTTTCTTTTTTAAGCCTTAGGGAAGAAAGTTGGCTGATTTTGACCCTGAAACATAGAAAACAAAACTGTCCTGTTTGCTTTAAACCTCTCTCTCTCTCTCTCCCTCCCTCCCTCCCTCCCTCCCTCCCTCTCTCTCTCTCTGTGTGTGTGTGTGTGTGTGTGTGTGTGTGTGTGTGTGTGCAGAACAAAATAGCGTGGTGATATGGAAACTCAAACAGACACACACCCATTGTGTATGAGAAGGAAAGAGGCATCTGCTGTAGTGGGAAGGGAACACCATTTGTTTGTCTGCTCTCATAGCACACATTCCACGCTAAGAACAAACCGGGAGGAGATGTTATGCTCCTTTGGAAAAAAAAGTTCCCCCATTCAAGAGGGTTTGCCTCTGCTCTTTAAAATGCCAAAGTCTTTTCCTTCTTCCTAGAGGAGAAAAAAAGAAAGAAATATATCATTTTCTACAGCTTTGAACCATTTGTTCTTACATCTTTTCTCCTTCAATAGCATTTATCTTCACTGTGCTTTTAATCTAGCAGTTGTGAGAATCCTCCCACAGACCACAACATCCTTCCGAGGCCAACAGGGACCCCCTCCTCATTTGTTTGGAAATTGCTCAAAAATAAGTCCCTCTGAACAATGCTTAAGGTCGCTTCTTAGCCAGTGATGTTTTACGCACACAATCAGTGAAAATGTCTTCAAAATGATGAAAAATCTATCTGTAGTTAATTGGGCAAGACATGTTTGTTTTTAATAATAATTACCGTATATGCCGGCGTACAAGACGACCTGGCGTATAAGACGACCCTCGTCTTTGTCGCCGAGCCGCATTCCTAGAACGTCATCTTATACGCTGGAAACTACCAGTATTTCCGGCATATAAGACGACTCGGCGTATAAGACAACCCCCGTCTTTGGCGCCGATTTTAGCGCTTGCGGAAGTCGCCTTATACGCTGGCATATATGGTATCAAAATTATTTTTATTGTTTTCAGTTATGTCTTGCCCCACACTTAGAAACTCACAGAAGATATTATACACCAAATTCATATTAGCTTGTCTTTTCCCCCTAACCCCCAACAGTTTTATAAATAAACTACACTCCCTTATCTCAATGTGTGCAGTAGTGGCCAAAATTGTGGAAACCTTTTGGGAAAAGTGTACAGTAGAAATGCCACCTTTGGTTAAGTTTCCACCATTTTTCTTCTAATTTCTTTATAACTGTAGTCTTGTTCACTTAATGATACTATTTTACATTGCTTTCTGGGCAACCAGTCAACTCTTTGCACCATTACTTTAATTTTATTACGTTTTACAAGTTCACTAAATGAAAGAACACAAAAAAACCCAACCAACTTGATAGCGATCACATAACACATTAACCAACGTCCTCCTCTCAGTTTCAATACATGACATCAATAACTGAATACTACTGTGATCTGATTGGCTCATTGCCAAAACAAGATGACACCTGATTGGCTCTCTAAATACTCATGCTCATTGGCTTCAATCAGATGAAGGAAAGCTACCTGATATTAACCTAAGCAAGTTGTGCTTCCTTTTTCTGGTTATTTGGCTATAATGTTTCATAGAATACAGCTCAGATAATTGAACAGACTTTGTTGCATTACATCAGTGTTTCTCCACAGCAATGCTGGCTGTGGAATTCTGGGAGTTGAAGTCCACATGCCTTAAAATTGTCAAGGTTGAGAAACACTGCATTACATTCTTGATTAAATTATCTTTCCATTGATATATAATTTTATGGTACTACTCCAAAAAAAGTGGTGTTATTACTTTTATTAATATATTATTAATATATTATAATTAATATATTTAATATTAATATATTTAATATATTATTTAATATTAATTATTTAATATATTAATTAAATATATTTAATTAATATATTTAATTAATATATTATAATTAATATAATTAATATATTAATATATTATAATTAATAATATAATATATTATTAATTAAAGTTATTACTTTTCCCAAAAGGTTTCCACAATTTTGGCCACTACTGTACTTGTTTAATAATTTCACAATTTATGGCAGCTTTTTCCAATCTTATTTCTACCTAAAAACCCCTACTAGTGAGAGTTTGCAGAACACTCTTAATGTCAGCAAGTAAATAGCGACTTTCCTTTAGAAGGGCTTTATAGAAGATTATCAGGAGATGATGTAAAACTAAACTATAGGCATTTAATCCTAGGGAATATCCCAGCGCATTCCCTAGAAGACAGCTGCAATGCCTTTTCCTCTTTCCCTGCACCTTCCCAATTTAGTCCCATGTCCTTTCAATGACTTTGTACTTCCTTTAAGTATGACACATAACGAATCCCCCAAGACTGAATGCAGAATTCATCTTTGAAAAGAAATTTCCACTTCTCCTTTAGCCAATCATTGTTTACTTGCATTTATAGCAGATTGCCCTGGCCAAGATTGAAGGATCTTCTCCAGTTAGTTATCCAGTTTTGTGTGGTAATACCAAAACAGATGTTCTGCTACTTCAAAAAATGCACCATCCCACCCTTGTTGTAATATCCATACATTGTAATCCTTTTTCAACTAGCCAGATTGGTCTTTTGATAAAAACCCTTTTGGCCTCTTTGGATGGTTGGATGACTCAGCTTCCCAGATACTGCTTAGACTGAGGAGATTGTTGAAAGAGATTTTTTTCTTTAATTTTAATTTCTGCTTTAAAAGAACCTTCTCACTCTATGGAGATTCTCAATCATCCAGGTCATGGTTGTTCACAAAGGTGCTTTTTCAAAAGGCAGCTGGACTTTCTTTGTTTTTTCTTTGAAGACAAAACAAAGAAATCAAAGAAAGTCCAATTGCCTTCTGAAAAAGCTCCTTTGTGACAATCTCAGTCATGTCTAAAAGTTGGGGTTGCGTTTATGAGTAAAGTAAACCTAGTGAACAGGTGAGATGAAAGAAAATACAGTCAGGTAAACACAATTTCTCCAAAATAACATAAGGGGGTTGTGGGAGAGATCTTTTTTCAAAAGGATTAATAAAAACCGTTCTAACTTGAAGTAAATCAATTGTGACATTCTCAGTGTGTAAAATGACCAAAGTTGGAATTGTTCATAGTACACGGTTAAACGATAGGAATGTAGGCAACCTGATTTTATTTGTTTGCTTGTTTGTTTGTTTATCAAATTTATATAATTGCCCATCTCATTAAAAATGATTCTTGGTAGTATACAACTATTAAATAAAACAATGAATATGTAAAAATGATCCTTATTTAAAATATAAAACCAGAACACAGGAGAGAGTGAGTATTAATTGTAATGATGAACTACCTTAAAATATCACCAGTGCCCTGGGAGCTCCAGGTTGGATGATGTAGCACAGTGTTTCCCAAACTTGACAATTTTAAGGCATGTGGACTTCAACTCCCAGAATTCCACAGCCAGCGTTGCTGGCTGTGGAATTCTGGGAGTTGAAGTCCTCATGCCTTAAAATTGTCAAGTTTGGGAAACACTGATGTAGCAATAGCAATAACACTTAGACTTATATACCACTTCACAGTGCTTTACAACCCTCCCTAAGCAGTTTGCATATAGCTCTGAACAATCTGGGTCCTCATTTTGCTGACTTTGGAAGGATGGA